CTGCCCTATCGCACAACGCACAAGGCGGAGCCTATGCGCCGCGCTTGCTTAACACACAGCTATGCGCGCCTAACATCTGCCTCTGTTACTGGGCAGAGCGCCATCTATATCTTTGCACCGTGCCTAGTGACTAGCGCCCTCTGTCACGTCACAATATGAAGACTCAAGTTAAAAAAAAGCAAAAGCTTTTACGAAACCTGAGACCTGGTAGTGTGATTAGAAAAAACGTTCATTAAATTCGATTGGCAAAGTAATAATTATCAAGTGTAAATATGACATTATATGAAAAGAATTAAACGAATGTAGCCATGCTTGTATGTATATGAGTGACAAGAATGAAAAACGGTGGATGAAAGTAGTGCAAAAAGAAGCGTGAATATCACTGGATCCTTTTTTCAAAATGACCAAAATATATTGAGTATTCATTTGATTGCGTGGTTTTCAGTATAAATTTAATTTTAATAGTGTCTTTTATGGTTCCCCACACTTGGGTAAAAAGACTAGTTATGCGAAAGTTTAAATATGCTTGTTACCAAAGCAAGTACGTTTCCTGAACAAGGAAATTCCGTTTCCACTCTCCATCCCGTGATACTAGTGGACTCAAGAGTCACCATAACCACTGAAATTGTCAGGCCAGAATGTCTTTCAAACTCTATACCCTTTTCCTCACAAGGGCAATAAATCTTTGACTTCGCTGATCTTTGCTCTGGATTTTGAATTGCTGTTCGTGCAAGCCCGACAAAGTTTACTGAGATATTTCAAGTCCAAGCTTCAAATTATACACGTGTGGGTTGCCGTCATGAAGCACGGATCATCCGTATGTTGCATGTATTCGAATTATAGTGCAACTGGTATCACTATCACTCACTAGTATCGACACCAAAGGCAACAGTGAGACCATAGTTGAGTACAACTTTGCATCATGTTTATTTTCGATACCAAGAGCACGAATAGACACTCTCCTGTAAAACCACAGCCAGCCCTTTTTCTAAAAAAGAGTGCCGTTGACGCTGTATTTAAACTCAGATTTTGAGGGAAAAAATGTGAAGTCGCCGCAGTGGAATATTAGGAAAAGTTTTTCAGAAACTTTACTGTTCGTTACAATATGAAAACTCAATGTGTAGGGAACTCACTGAAGACATTTTTGCGATCAAATTCGCGTTTTTTATTTTTATTTAAACTCACTTTAAACTTTTATTATTTGCACTTTTCTCCGAAACGTCATGCAAGCAAGAAACACGCCCTATTCTTTACATATACAAACTTTTATTTCAAATAAACCGTTGTGACAATCATTGTTTTTATCGTTGTTCCACTTTTATTGACAAGAGTGGAAGAGTTTATTCCAATAATAAATTCTAATTTATGTGCGCATGCGCATAAACGGCAAGTGGAGGCAAAAAGCTTGAGCGGAACATTGAAATGTACAAGGACATAAATTTCAACGCAAAAGTCTTTCAGATTCTGCACCTTTTTTACTTTCGTCTTCTCCATTCGCCCACGTTTTATAGTGAGCAAGAAATTAAAGCGGATTTTGGCGAATTATTCAGACTTTCGACTACTAAACTTTATTCACTATCACTATAAGAAGTGGGTAAAATTTAAAAGCCATAATTATGCCCTTCTGGTTGCACAATATAGGTCCTAGATGTACATCAATGTTGTGGCAGAATTACCAAGATACCCTCGGACTTTTAGTGTTCCCCCGGCGGTCATTCAGCGAGTGTGGTACTTCTTCGGGAAAGCCTGCAACCGGATGGGCAGGCCCGTTGGGCGGAGATGTACCAGCTTATGCACAGGGCTGACCGGACAGTGCCTCAACAACCTCCCCGGGACAGACAGGGCAACTACGGACAGGACAAGAACAGACGGGACAAATAACTAAATTAGAGCCTCTTTTATTTACACCTCAATCAAACCAGACAATTTAATCCTCCAGGTAGCCACTCTAATGTAGTGCCCACAAAGCCTCTGCTAAGCGCTACCGTAGATAGCCTCCCACTACCATCGCGCCTCCTGGTTTGAACCCTCCCGTAAGGCATCCTCCAGGCTACAAGTACTCTTCCCCAGGGTACTCCACACCCCAAAGAACTGGAACTAATCCCTAGTTCCCTCCACGGTATCCCACCGTGGTCCCACTCAGGTATGTACAAAGGCCCACGCTGGAATCCACGCAGCGTAACCTCCTATTACCTAGCACAGCCTTGGCTTCAGCACGTCCGCCACGGACGAGAACCAAACTACTGACTACCTGGCCGCGCGCGCGCTCTCTTTTATTCGCATAATAGCACCCCTATTAGTTGACCATGGGCAAGTCCCGCGGTCGAGCTGCCAGACAGTGTGCAACAACATAACCATTTGCGTCATAATATTATGGACATGATGTTCATGATAACATCTATATTGTGCAATCCACAATAGAGCCATATGGTCAAGTCACCCCCCCACACACACACACCTTTCTCCACCCCCATCCCCCAAATTTCCGGCACAGATTTACGCCTCTGATCGGCACCCACTGCCCTGCAGCTTCAGTTAGGACACCACCTCAGCACTAACAGCTGTTGAAATCCACGGGTTAGCTCGGCGTCGCAGGAGTAGCCTCACTTAGCATTACTTGTCGCGTCGCTTTATAGTGGATGTAGGTAGGTTGGCACTAAAACCTCATCAACTTCTGCTTTTTACCTGTTTCATTGAAGTGTGAATTTTACCATCTCTAACTGAACAATGTAAAAATGGATACAAGGAAATAGGAACCAGGAAATCACTGCAGTGAACTACCAGCAAATATAGCTGTCTGGAACGGAGACTGAGGGGTTTTTAATGACGGAAGCGATTGGCCAACATTTGTTGTGCACAAAACTATCAATATACGTCACGTCGTGGTGAACCCGACGATATGTATGACGCAGTTGTAATAATGACTAACTACCTTTCCTTTTACATGTATATAGTGATTGGATTTGCATGTTTCTCTTACGAATTACAAAGGCTTAATCGTCTTGTTATTTGATTTGTCGCAAGTGTTTAATTATAAAATTCTACAACTCAGTGGCAAAACAGTGGGCATGTACACACATACATGATTTCAAAGGTTGTGCGGCGTGTTTAGTGTACGTTTGCGTTCACATGAAAACTGTGAATAACCGACCTTCGTTCGTG